CAATGCTGCGAAATAAGAGCAAATTAAGCATTATCTGGGTCATCGAGCAGCTCGTGAGCAAGAAGGCGGCGCGTGGCGGAAATGAGCATCGGCGATGAGCGTTGAGTTCTCTTCGAATGTATAAATATATCAGTAAAAACACCGGTTGGAGGTGTGATTTTCACTATAGGGTCACCGTGTATGTAGCTATTATACAGATGCGGATCGAAAGCATTGAAGAATTTGTGCCATCAGGATTCGAAGTGTAAATCGGAGTTTGTTAGGAACAAAAAAGCGGATTTTGGGGCGGCGGATGGAGGCAGAACCTAGACGGAATTTGTTGGAGGAACGTTTATGGTAGTGCTTTCTAAGGAAAGTGGAATCGGCGGCGTTGGCTTTGTGAAAAAGGGAAAGATCGTCGAGTAACCAATTTGGGTTAGGTTGGGTTAATAACAGAGTTGAGTTAATAATTTGGGTTAGGTTGGGTTAATAATTTGGGTATGTTTTAACGGGTTGGGTTTGGGTAAATGCACCTAACCAAGGTTAAAACTAATGTAGGGCAGGGGTAAAGTCGGACCAATAATGAACAGACACGTGGAAATGTGGGTCTATTCACTAATTATAAATATTTAAAAAAGAAAAAATTGAGCCATTAGTCAAATAATGGGATAGATGGGTCAAATGTTTAACGGTAGTGGCGTGGAAAGAGCGAGCTTTTAACGGATGACATCGATAGGCCATTTCCCTAGGTTGAATGGCATTTTTAGGCCTTTTCCGCTAATAATATGGCCCACCCTTTGGGGGGTAAGGTAACTACCCTCCCCGAACCCTACTTCTGAAATTACATTGAATTTCGTTGTTATTGTTGTTCTCTTCTGCAAAGAAAATAATTACATTTCACCTATGGACCTAAGTGGGCGTTTGGACATAAGAATTGTAAAATTTCAAAATAGGGCGAAAAAAATTTTCAACTGAAAATGTTATTTGAAATTTAGAGTTGTGTTTGGACATGAGTATAATTTTGGGTTGTTTTTGAAGTTTTATGAGTGATTTGAGTAAAAATTTTAAAAAAAAAAAGCTTTTTGGAGTTTTTCAAAATTTTGAAAATTTCAAAAATGCATTCAAGTGAAAATTGAAAATTTTACGAACAAATGCTGATTTCGAAAAAAAGTAATTTTTTTTTTAAAAAAAGGAAAATTCTTTTTTATGTCCAAACGGGCTCTAAGTTTTTTCCCCTATAAATATCCAAATTCTTATCAATATCACTTGCAATCAGCAACATTTACATATTATTGCCCATATTTAATTACATAAAAAATATGTCAAAACACTATCATCTTATCTTATCTTATATCTTGTACAGTTACCAACTTACCATATAACTCTATTTACCAAACTAACTACTAAAAGTTTGATATTTCCCAAAATAAGACATATTTCCTGAGAAAATTATTTTCTTCCTATCAAAAATTCTGTTAATATTTCCCGAGAAAATTATTATTTAAAGGAAAAGACCCCAAATATTTATCAACCAAACCATAGTGTAAACGAAATTTTCACAAGACACCAATGGCGATTCCCGCCATTTCTCTACCAACTGTCACAACCACCATAACTGCAACTTCAAGCTTCAACAAGCTTAACAAAACACCTCCAAAACCTTTCAACACAAATCTCAAATCCCTCACTAAATCCGGAAAACTAAACGATGCTCTTCTCCTATTAGAATCCCAGAAAAATTCTCAACCCGAAAACAAAGAATCTTATTTGAATCTCCTCCATGCATGCATTTCACAAAAATCATTAGAACACGGTCATAGGCTATATCTTCACCTTCTTTTAAATCCAAACAGAAGTAAATTTCTCAATGACCCTTTAATTTTATCTAAATTAATTACCCTTTTCTCTGTTTGTGATCAGTTAGATGAGGCTCGCCGTGTTTTTGAGCACCACGCGCTTGAAACCGAAGACCAACCCGAATCAGTTTGGGTTGCAATGGCAATTGGGTATTCTAAAAAAGGATTTTTCAGGGAAGCATTATTGATTTATTGTCAAATGTTGTTTAAGTCCATTGAACCGGGGAATTTTGCATTTTCTATGGCTGTGAAAGCTTGTTCGGGACTTTCAGATTTGAGGGTCGGTAGAGGTGTACATGCCCAGATTATTAAAGCTGATAAAGAACCTGATCAAGTTGTGTACAATGCTATTTTGGGAATGTACAGTGAGTGTGGGTGTTTTGAAGATGTGTTGAAGGTGTTTGAGGAAATGCCTGACAGAAATGTTGTAAGTTGGAATTCGTTGATCGCGGGGTTTGTTAAGAAAGGACAGATTTTTGAGGCATTTGAGACTTTTAGGCGAATGCAAAGAGATGGAGTGGGATATGGTTGGGTGACTTTTACGACGATTTTAGCTGTTTGTTCTCAGGTTACATACCTTTATTATGGAAGGGAGGTACATTCACAAATTGTTAAATCAACTAAAGTTCCTGATCTTGTTTTAGTAAACTCACTTTTGGACATGTACGCAAAATGCGGAGCAATGGAGTATTGCAGGAGAGTGTTTGAGAGAATGAAATACAAAGACATAACATCGTGGAATACTGTTATTAATGGGTATGCGATCAATGGTTTAATGGAAGAAGCAATGAAGTTGTTTGATGATATGGTTGGTAGTGGAGTTAGGCCCGATGGAGTGACATTTATTACCTTGTTGTCTGGCTGTAGCCATGCTGGGCTGGCGAACTTAGGCAAGGAATTGTTTGAGAACATGAGTCCAGAATTTGGAATTCGGCCTTCCTCAGAGCATTATGCTTGTCTTGTTGATATATTAGGTAGAGCTGGGAAAATTAAAGAGGCACTGCAAGTAGTGGAGAAAATGCCCGTCAAGCCTAGTGGAAGCATTTGGGGCTCACTGCTCAATTCATGCAGACTTCATGGAAATGTCTCTCTTGCAGAACTCGTGGCAGAGCAGCTATTTGAGATGGAACCTAACAACTGTGGAAATTACGTGATACTATCAAACATTTATGCAAATGCAGGACTGTGGGAGGGAGTTAAAAAAGTGAGGGAGATGATGGAGAATAAGGGAATCAAAAAGGAAGCTGGATGCAGCTGGATACAGGTTAGAAATAGAGTACACACATTTATGGCTGGTGGCGGTTTTGAATTTCGTAATTCAGATGAATACAAGGAAGTTTGGGATGAATTATCAGATGCTATTGAAAAAATGGGGTATAAACCTGATACGAGAGTTGTGCTTCATGATGTAAACGAGGAAACAAAAGCAGAATGGATATGTGGGCATAGTGAACGGCTTGCTACAGTATTTGGTCTGATTCATACTGGTTCTGGTATTCCAATTAGGGTGACAAAAAATCTTCGAATTTGTGCGGATTGTCACTCTTGGATGAAGTTTGTGTCAGAAATAACGAGAAGAAAGATTATAGTGAGAGATACAAATCGGTTCCACCATTTTGACAAAGGGATATGCTCTTGCAATGATTACTGGTGATTCTCGTAGTTGTTATTCTGTAAATAATCCCTTTAAGATCTTTTTTCTGAGCTATGTACTGAACAGGAAAATATTGCTTCTTTCAAAACACATTTATGTCATTTGTATGAGAATTGAACGTCTTGCTGAAAAGATGTAGTTCTTTGTTTTCCTTTTTACAAATTGAAAAGAGTTTGTGAACCCAGAATATAGCTCTATATGGAAGAAATACACCATCCACATTACCTGCCGCTGGGTAATAGAAGTGTGACCACCTCATCTAAAAGATGTTAGAGAGGAGACACTTTTATTTATACTTAATTATGTCTTTAATACACTCTCTCATGTGGGAGGCTGATTATTCTTATGGTCCCAGCATCTGAAAATTCTTTTCGATAATGGGTGGTGGGTCTCTGTCTAATATTATATTGAATTATTTGACCATCTCATCTAAAAGCTTAAGCTGCTAGAGATGATACAATTTTATTTATTTTATTATGTTTTCAACAAATAGTTCCCTTTTTATTCTCCTCTACGAGCCACATTAAGGAAATACCAAAATTCTTCAAAATAATTAAGGAGTAAATCTAATAGACTTTATATGCCAAGATGATTTAATTAGATAAGAAAACTTGTGATATGTGCTTCTGTAAATCTGCTTGGCTTAACTTTCAGCTTTGCTTTCTGCTTCACTTCGAATGTTTCCAATCTGTACATGAAGAGTTAAACTTCATTTCTCTTCCAATTAATAAACATCATCAAAGTGTCTATACCGGACCAGCACGTGAAAGTACTTGGTGAAGCCACTTGGTTAATTGGAGCTATGTAGCATGTGGAATGGCTGATTACTAACCTCTTGACGGTAAGAACAACTTTTATGTTTCCACTTCTGACTTGAACTGGAAAATAGACAACCAGATTGCTGGTATAAAAGAATGAGGGGAGAAAAGGACATTTCGGTAGTTCACACATAAATCCCAGTAAAACGAAAGGAATGCAAAGGAGAACCAACTCAGAGTTATTAGCATCTCTCGTGTCAGTTCGCGATGGTTATTTTCCCTTACAAAAAGTGTCCTCCCCCCCCCCCCCCNTGCATCTACTTTTAGAAAGTTATGTATACCTGTGACATTGCTAAGGACTTGTGGGGACTGCTTTGGAGCAAAGCATCCTCTAGATGTCCCCAAACAATTGTAAGGGGTTGAAGTCTCATGGGATAACACTGCAATAAGTAAGACGTTTTTCCCATGCATACTTTATGCCTTGAACTTACCTTGTTTATTTTGTTATACAGAAGTCCAGCTTTGAGCAGTAGATCATCTTGCTTATATTTAAGATAATTATTTTTATTGTTTATTATAGTATACGATGATATCAACAGCAGTAACACAGTCACCATACTGCATTGTTATTTGTTGCCATGTGGAAGATTGTCATATGACTTTGAAATTTGAGTATTAGTGTACGCAGAAGTTTTACAAAATTGCATGTTACACATGAAGAATTGAGGTCGAATATTATTATTATGAACGGGGTCGAGTTCAAGCTCATCATTTAATAAGACACTCTAACAGCCAAGACAACAATTTTCTCATTGCTTCTGCAATGATGATGGAGTTCTAGTTTTGATAGTCAGTCACGGATATGAACCATGAAAAATTAAGACTTGTATAACTTAAAGAGTGGTCATTTTGCACTGTAGCATACTTTCCATGTTTTTTTCAGATGCTGTGGTGCCAGCATAATTTTCAGGTCTAAAGTATACTCTTATGTAGCTAGCGTCCAGTGAAATCAGAAAAAGTATTGGTTGCGTTAGAAGCTGATGATCCAGTAGTCATGGACAAGTCCACTGGCGTACTCTTATCCATGCTAATGATAGTAGGCATACTAGGAGTTCTCGTGTCTGTGCTACGATCACTTAATAGCATGACAACAACTTCAGACATGGTTGGCCTAAGATTTGCTGGTGATTGTGTACACATTAAGGCAATCTCTATGATTTTCTTCACTTCTTGTTCGTTGTATTCATTGGGGTCTAAAGTCTCATCCACCAGTTTTTCAGGCATGCCAGTTTCATGAAGTTTCCACGCCTATTTTCACCATAGCACAGGTACAATTAGAATGGGACAGAGAAGTTGGAAGAGAATACTTAGTAAAATATGAAAGGAAAAGTGGAATTTGAAAATGAAAACCGACCTTTTCAAGGAGATATTCAGTGACAGGCTCAATCTGTATATCATTGCTCCTCCTGCCACTGATTATTTCAAGAACGACAACCCCAAAGCTATAGACGTCGACTTTCTCTGTTAGATGTCCACGAATTGCATATTCTGGTGCAGTATATCCCCTGTTTCAATTAGAGCTCATTGAGTTGTTCTCATAATGCTTTTAGTGATATCAAGGTAAGAAACTCAAGCAGTCAAATTGACTTACAAGGTACCAGCAAACTTAGTGCTGACATGACTCTGATCCTCAGGTAAAAGTCTTACAAGCCCAAAATCAGCAATTTTTGGCTGAAATTCGTCGTCTAGTAGAATGTTGCTGGATTTTATATCTCTATGGATGATGCAGACGTGGAATTGCTCGTGTAGGTAGGCAAGGCCACGAGCTGTGCCAAAGATTATATCAAATCGTTGCTTCCAGTTGAGCATTCCTCGTTTGTCACCTGCAAAACAATGAGAGGTAAGATGAGTTTAAATTTTCTTGAACATAACAATTTGACTTGGAAAAAAATAGTAAGCTGGATAAACAAAAAAATCGACCATATAAGTATCTCTCAAGACTGCCATTTGCCATGTATTCGTAAACAAGTAGTAGGTCTGCTCCTTTGTTAGAACACCCCAAGAGACGGATGAGATTGCGATGATGGACATTACTGATAAGCCGAACTTCAGTCTCAAAATCTGCCTTTGCTCTGCTAGAAAAAATTGCTAGTTTCTTAACAGCAACTACATGTCCATTTTTCAAAGTGCCCTGTTCAATAACATTAGAGTCATCATTTGAATTAAATTTAGTGGATACACGGATAGAAGTCAGTTCAATATTATCTAGTCAATTTGATTGAGATAAGGATCTTCAACTGTTTCAGTGTTACCTTGTATACATCACCAAAACCACCTTCACCAAGTTTATTACTTTCATTGAAATCTTGGGTAGCAATTTTTAGGTCCTTGAATCTGTAGCTCACTGGACCTCTCAGCTCAGTTGCTCCCAGTATATTACCTGAACATGAGCTACTATATCAGTTACGATATAAATAAACGGATGAAAAGAAACCCCCACTTCCCTTTCTATAGTTAAGAGAAAGACATAGAAAACATATTTAAGACTTTGAACTACAAAAGATTCTGAAGATGGTTGAGGGATAAAGAAGGTTAATTCAGAAAGGGATCGTCCAAATTTTACCTCTTTCAGCTGCCTTTGGTTTTCTAGAAAGTCGATACCATAAGAACAAAGCCAATACAATCAAAAGAAGTCCTACACCTCCAACGACACCCCCAATAATGGCGGCTTTCTTCTTGTTTGAGCTTCCTGCATAAAGCACCGCCACCAATTATAAATTCGTCTTAAAATGACTAATGCTGGTAAGAGTTGAGAAAAAGAGAGCTTCATTTCCTACCTCCTCCGCCAAGGAATGGTGTGATATCAGTTGTCTTGTTATCAGAAAAAAAGGCTCTATTTGAGTACCTCATAAAACAGGCTGCGTCTACAGCTCTTCCTTCTGCATATTTAGGCAAGCAGCCTTCTATGTTTTTATATGCCACTGTCAAGCAATCTACGCAGCCACTTTTAGTGATGGTTTCAGCACATTGTGCTACTCCATAGAGAGTAACACCAGCGACTTCCCTCTTCGTGGCTGCATAGAAGCCACTAATTCTTGGAGTCGCCATGCTAAGATCATTCAAGAGTTGTTGTGCAACAGGATTTAAAGCATTTGGCTGAGAAGCTGTTCGATTCCCACAAATTGCTGCATTTCCTGGAAGTGTAGTGTCTTGGTAGAAATTGTTGCTCTCGTACCTTTGAAAAAGGGCATCAGTAGAGCAATGAGTTCATGTAAGTTATTAGAAGGATTTTACTCTCCCTTTTTATCTTTACATTCCAACACAAGCTGCCATTTTAATGAGTATGCTTTAATAATTTTAAATTAGACTATCAAAGTGCTTGTGTTTTCCGCCTGATAAAATAGACTGCCTCAGAAAGTGGTCTTCACATTACAGACTAAAAGGTATGGAAAAGTTCGACTTTCCACAGTTCTGAGTTTAAGTGACGATTTTATCTGAATCGAAGATTACCCACAAGAAGATACATGATCTCATACCAGACAACTGAGAGACTGTTTATAGGTTAGTATCAGGGATTTTATGCAGTCAAACAGTAATATAAATATTGCTGTTACCAATAATCTTGTCTCTTGAGTGTTAGCAAACAACATCATATGATTGATCATAATCAAGGGCTGCTGCATATCATTTAATATATTTGTTCTAGTTTCTTTCTTGAAGGGAGCCTTGGCATAACTGGTAAAGTTGTTGCCATGTGACCAGGAGGTCACGGGTTCGAGCCGTAGAAACAGCCTCTCGCAGAAATGCAGGGTAAGGCCGCCTACAATAGACTCTTGAGGTCCGGCACTCACCCAGACCCCGCGCATAACGGGAGCTTAGTGTACCGGGCTGTCCTTTTTTTTTTCAATAGTTTCTTTCTTAATGGAAATTTTGAAGAAGAGGCCAAAATCTTGAAAAATTGATGTGAAAATACAAAGAGCAATTCCATAGATATTTCTTAATAAAGTCGACTCCAACTAGTTTCGAGGCGTAACTCACCTGAGGAAGCAACCATCATAGGTAACACGAGCACCATTAGCACCAGAGCAAGTTCTGATGAGAGAAACAGCAGCATCATAACAGGAAACACAATCAGCTTTTGACAAATAGTTTCTGCATTCAACCATAGCATAAACAGCCTGTTGTGTCGTGGCGAATCGCTTATCTTGATTAGACAACTGGTTCCTTAAATCATCAAAACTTGCATTGAGTTTTCTGAAAAAATCAGGTAAATTTGTTGCATTGTATTGACTACATCCTTTGCCTAACAGGTTGGTTTGTGGCTCGGAAAAAACCGGCTTCTGGATCGATAAACAACCGATAAACGCCACCGTGAACCACCAGCTCCACCACCAGACATAGCTAGCCATGTCTTAGAGTATGGTCCACAGAATTTTCAGGTAAGAATGCTATGGAACGGTTAAGATGTTTGAAGATGAAAGATATTCTTTTATATACACACAGCAGAAAATAGTCAACTATGTGTATTATGACAACATTAATGTATGTTCAATGTTGGATTATCCGCTGGAAATAAAGCTAAAAGATTAGAGTATTATCTGTCGTTCTCCTTCTGTTTTGTCTTATGGATTTAGAAAGAATTTTTAGCGCAAATGGTCCCTAAAATTTGAGGGTAAGTCTAGTTTAGTCTCTATTATATTACTTGAGCATATATGGTTCTTTAAGTTCACAAAAAGTCGAGCATGTTTAATCTAAAAGGCCAGCCCGATGCACTAAACTCCCGTTATGTGCAGAGTCTGGGGAAGAGTCGGACCACAAGGGTCTATTGTACGCAGTCTTATCCTGCATTTCTGCAAGAGGCTGTTTCCACGGCTCCAACTCGTAATACCTTGGTCACATGACAACAACTTTACCGGTTGCGCCAAGACTCCCCTTCAAATTGACAAAATATCCAAATGGGTCATTAAAGCTAATCAATATTTCTCGTACTTTTCACGTGACTAGAGTAAAAAATAATCCCAACATAGATTTTCTTGGTCAATTTTATATTTTCCTTCAATCCTACACTGATCACACAAAAATCAAATAGAAAAAGTGTATCAGTAATGAAAAAACTGTGATGGAGAAAAATGAAATTGGGCAAGTAGATCTGATCACGATCGTTATATTACTTGGGAACTTCAAAAGTATATAACATTTCCATTAGTTTTAAAGATCAAGTTTAGGAGTTTCATGAGTTGGATCAGAAGTGCTCAACCTATGTAAACTTAAAGGATCATATGCACTCAAAATAATATAATATGGACAAAAATAGACTTATCCCAAACTTAAGGCATCATTTGGGGAAACAAAAAAAAAAAAGAAAAAGAGCCCATTGATTCAAGGAATGATGGAAAACCACTCATTGCCTCATTCATTTCTATATAATATAGTATAATATAAATAAATGTACAGTCTGTTGGATTTCTTGGAAAGTTGACCTCGTACTTTGGATGCTTTTACAAATCTACAATAACTTTTTGGTGTAAAAAAGAAGGAAAACACTGCCAATAATAGTCAATTATCCTGTCTAAATGGAAGCTTACCTTCCCATTTATAACTCAGGAGCTCAAGATTTATTGGATAAAAATTATTCTAAGTTTTGTTAATACATATACAGGGTTTGAGCAAAAGTTATTTAATTTACGTAAACTCACTTATTACGTTGTAGATCTGTCCTTGACTCAAGCTCGAATCTATAGTGAACAAGAATTATAATTAGAGATATCTATAACTACTTTTTGTGATGAGAGGCGGATCTATGTTGGGAGAAGAAAGGTTATCGGACCCTGTTAACTTCCGCAAAAAAATTGAATATATAAGTGTACATATGTTAAAAACGGTTATATATTTTGCTTGGAACCCTTAAGATCAAAAGTCCGTTGCGAACATTGGTTGAGCAGTTCGCTTATGTGCCCTTACCACTTTTAAATCCTGAATTTGCCTCGCCATCTTCAAATTTTAGGTTCGCCTATGTTTGTGACCACGTCCAGGTTATAAATTGTTGTAAGTTTGAACTTGACTGGTGAGTTACAGTCAAATTCTTTCTTTTTATTTGAATCAATTTTCCTGTAAACCTTCACAAAAAATGTATTGATCACTCTATACGTGAGTGTAACGAAGACCAATTATAATACTACGTTCAATCCTTTTTATCGGTCGTCTTAGATTTTAGCACATTTATTAAGAAAATTATTTTTGATTAGATTAATCATAAAGAGAATTTTGACTAAATGTTTTTCTGGAGTAGTACTAGTAGTGGACATAGAAAAAAAAAATTAGCGTCTTCTTGATTTTTTAATGTGATAAATATTTTTGGTTAATTTTTGTTAGCAGTAACAACAAATCTGAAAAGGGTGATGTGTATACGGGTCTTACCTCTTTTTTATGGGAGAAATTAAAAAATAGCCAGATTTATAAGTGGTCTTTCAAAAATAGTCACAGTTTCAAAAGTTATCGAAATTTAGCCACTTTTCATGTACAGATAAATCTGAACGAAAACACTGTTCAAAATCCAGAAAATACTTCAGTATATTATACTGGAGTTACAGCAAAGTATACTGGAACTCCAGCATATTATACTGGAGTTTGGAGTTCCAATATACTTTGCTACTGAAACTCCAGTATATTATACTGGAGCCAGCAAAGTATACCGGTCCAATATAATATGCTGGAAGTTCATGCACAGGTGCACCGAACTCCAGTATATTATACTGGATCGGTCTCTGTTGTAGCAAAATAATAGCTATTTTTCAATGACTTGGCAAATGCTATCTATTTTTGAATGACCGGTCCGAAAATTGGCTAGACCATGCTATTTTAACCTTTCTTATGAGGTAAAGAGAATGTTTCCAATAAATCCCTAGCTCAAGGAAAGCAAAATGGCAGCAGTGATAAAAAGAAATACGGTAGTAAAAAGTCCATATAAAAGTAAGAAATGATAACAGCAATATTGTAGTAAGATAACTAAAGCAAAAGAAATAATAAAATAGTAATAAAAATCTAAAAATAAGAAAATACAAAAATACATAGTACTACAAATATTAAAAAAGGAGTACGCTCGACTACCTAATAACTCTCATCCTACTTCTCTCGGTGAGAATGAAAAAGAATTTGTTTTTGGCAATTTGTTATTCTCAAGTGGCTTAGGTTTTGTTCAATTGTCAGTTTTTCTTTTATTTTCAATTTAATAACCGGCAAAATTTTTTGGGAACTATTTAATTACATAACGTAGACGTGCCACATAGTAGCCTAATTTATATCGCAAAAATAGGTGTGATTTGTGAACATGTACATTCACTTAGCACTACTGATTTTTTTATTAGTAAGTTATATTTATTTAATGTTTAATTAGCCATCCCAATTTATATAACGTTGTATCTATTATAGAATATATATACTATATTTTATAGAATTATACTTATAAAGAATTTTGACAAGTTCCTCAAATTAGAATCTATTTAACTAATTAAATTTAAGTTGGGATATTATAGTTTTTTTAGTATTCATATCAATTTTTCTCTTAAAAGTATATGCTCGGTCAATAGCTCAAAAACTAGCCTCCCCTAGTATAGTCAGACCTCTTTATAACAATCTCATTTTTTTCGATAAGGCCGCTATAGTAAAATGCTGTTATAGAGGACATATATTATAATATAACATAAAGGTCGATTTCGGAAAAAACTTAATTGTTATGTAGAAATATTAATTATAACATATAGACGATGTTATAGAGAAGTCTGACTGAAGTATACTAAGTTCTAAAATTCTGTATATTTTCCTTTTCTTCTTTCATAGTACTAATGTATAATATTCGACTTTTTTGCTAGTCTTTGTTCTATAGTTTCTTTTAATATTATTCTCTTTTTTTATACTTTTAATATTGTTCTTTTAATGACATTTTCTGTTGTTGTTGTTGCAAGACCTCACTCGCAACAGCAATTTTTTTTAAATATAATTCCATTTAAATTCGAAAGGAAAAAGTCAGAACTACCTGAGGTATACATGAATAAGTCTTGCAACTGTCACGTTGTTTTTAATATTTTTACTGTCATGGTGAAGTTGATTATTATTTTATTAATGAGTTTTTTTTTGTTTTTAAAACATTCTATCTACGATTTCGTGTGTAATCTATTAAGTATCATCTTCTTTTTTTCTATATTATTATTAAAATAAACAAAGAAAAATGAACTACATAGGGGAGGGACTTTTTCTAGAAGGTCTTTGAATATGGAGGCGGCTGCTTTGGTCTCAATAGAATTTTTATTTTGACGACTTCTTTGGTAAAATTTAGAAACCTGAAACCTAAACCCTGAAAACGATTAATTGAAAATAATAATTTATGGGTGAAATTTAAAAATAGTCAGATTTATAACTATTAATTGAAAAATAATCACAGTTTCAAAAGTAATCAAAATTTAGTCACTTTTCATGTAAAGATAAAATCTGAATAAAAAATACTGGTAAAAATCCGAAAATATTCCAGCATAATATGCTGGAACTTTTTACATATTAGCTTCCAACATAATATGCTGGAATTTAATAATATGCTGAAAGTTTATATGCATGAGTTCCATAATCCCGCATATTATGCTGGAACTTTCCGTGTCTTGGAGTTCCAACAAAACATGCTGAAAGTTTATATGCAGGAGAGCATATTGTGCTGAAACTTTCCGTTTTTTCAGCAAAATAATAACTATTTTTCAATAATTTCGCAAACACTATCTTTTTTCCGATTATCAATACTAGCCCGTAGTATTTTGACGATATTTTTAATCAGGTAGCCTATCAGTCGTAAATAAATAGGGAATTCCTGTTTATGTCTTATTCAAATTGGACAAAGAGCTAGGTCATGTTCTTTTCTTCCTTAAATGCTCAAATTGGACCATTTGCCTGTCTCCTTCTGGTTGTCTAATGTTACATTATTCTTTGATTATTGCATTTTTTTTCTTCTTTTCTGATTGTGCCAAATTAAAGAGTCTTGTGTTATGAATAGTTTGTACATTGGATACTACTTTGGATATTACATTGGATGCTATATTGGATGTCCATGTTGTGAATAATTTAAAGATTAAATTTCCTACTTTATGTCCATCATCTTTACTTTTTAT